TAAATGGCTTGGGTCCAAGTTATATCAGAGACCACCTCCTCCCGTACAGTCCCCCTGCACACTCCGTTCCTCTGGGAGGAAACTTTTAGAGCCGAAAAGAGCTAGGTTATCTGCAACCTCCCAGAGGGCCTTTTCTGTTTTTGCCCCTAGACTCTGGAATGACCTACCGGACGAGATCCGTCAGTTAACATCTTTGGATAGTTTCCAGATTAGGTGGCCGGCCTCTGGTCGTTTTTATTCTAGGACATCATGCGGCACTGGCTCCCTCGCTATGTAAAATTGGAACACCTCATGGGGTTATTGTAATTGTAATTATTTGATTTTAAAATAATATATATTATATTTTATTCTGTAACTGTTTAATACTGTTTTAAGGGTGGGAGGGAAATATTTGTATTGTATTTTATGTTGCTAACCACCCAGATTGGGAAACCATTGGGCGGTATACAAATAAATTTTATTATTATTATTATTATTATTATTATTATTATTATTATTATTATTATTGATCTTACCTCTTTATTCCTTAGCTCTTGTGGGTGTGCTTGCATTGCTGTGTGTTTTTCTCTCAATAAAATACAATTCATAGAAAGAATTCTGCCTTTGTATTCCTCTATTTCGGCACCTTGGTATACAGATGGGAAATGATTCCAAAGCGCTGTTTGTAGCTCAACCCATTAATTGAGCTAATTAAAAATTCTCCTAGAGGTTTATAGCTACATTACCTTAATCTGGTCTGTCTAGATACGCTTATTCAGATATAAAGTGGATAGGGCAGTGGAAAGCAAAATATGAGTCGAAACCCCATCTTTAAGCCTTCCATACACTGGAACTGGGTCATACTTTGCATGACAACATATTCTGCATATACTGTAGCCAAAATAATAATAATAAATGCATTATTTGGCCTTCTAGCAATTTGTTGGAATCACACTCTACCAAGAACATTAGGTCCAACAAATTCCTCACAAGCTTTGCAGATAAGTTCACTATGTAAAAGCAACAAGGGGATCAGCTATTTTGAATTTGATCCTAACCAAAAGAGA